AAAGAGATTATAAATAGTTTAGATTAGTAAGAATATAAACTAATTAGAAAAAATAAGAGTTAATAGTAAATAAATAGGCTATAGATAAAGTAAAATTACTATAATAACTAGCTATTATTATTTAGAAGGATTCTATTTAATTATAAAATTACTTATTATTCTAAAAGTTATATAGAGGATTTAGATAATAGTAAATTTTAATATAAATAAAGAAGCTACTAGGATTATAAGCTTTACTAATATACTACTAAATATTAAAAAACTATTAGAAGAGATAAAAAGAGTTTAAATTTATAATCTCTAAAAATAGAAAAAGAGTAACTCTATTATTCTTATTAATAGGGTATAATACTATAAAAAGTAATAGATTAATAGAATATCTAGTTAGATTAATAACCTTAGATATATCCTAATAAGATTTACTCTTAAAGTAAGATATTACTATTAAATAATTAAATAATTAATAAAATAGAATTAAAAATCTTAGAATAATTAGAATAAATTACTAATATAATAGATTAAGTATATAGAAAATTAGTATATAATAAGAAGTAAACTTAGATAAGAAAAAAGACTTAAAGAAGATATATAATAATAAGTAGGAAGATCTTAAAAAGAAGAGAAGATATTTATTTATATAGATATAAGAGACTAAGGAGAAATAGTAGTTATAAGGAATTCCAGTTAACTAAGCTTAAAAAACTATATATTAATTAAAGAAGAAAGAAAGAGAAGTTTAATAAGATATAATATAAAAAGAAAGAAAAGAGATATTTAAAAATATACTAAATTACCTATATAATCTAACTTTTATAGGAGAAAAGTATAGGAAGATTAGTATATTATAAATATTATTTAGAGTAATTAGATATAATAATTACTTCTGGATTTACTTATAAATATAAATACTTCTATTCTATAATCTTTAAAACCTCTTTTTATTTTCTTACCTTCTTATATTCTTATATATCTCTCTAAGTTATACTCTTACTACTTTATAATTTACTTTTCTTATTATATTCTATATACTTAAATCTTAACTATCTATACTTATCTAATACCTTTATACTACTAACTTTACCTTCTATATTCTATTTTAATTCTTACTTCTTAAGACTTTATTTAATTAAATAAATATAATAAAGCTCTATTACTATAAAGAGTTATTATTTAATCCTTAGAAGTATTTCTTAATAGAGAAAGAGAGATACTCTAAAGATATAATAACTATATTTTTAATAATTAGAAAATATAACTCTACTTTCTATTAATCCTATAAGTACTAACTAGTAACTCTAAATAAACTTTTAGCTAATAGATATATTAAATATATTTATAAACTTAATACTAAGATAAAGATCTCTAAGAAAAAGGATCTCTAGACTAATAATAACTAGCTATTAAAACTAATAAGAAAGATTACTATCTATAAGTAATACCTAGTTTATATCTATAACTTTATTATTATAATATATAGAAAGTAGTAGTTAGATAGAATAAAGCTTAATATAATATTAGATATTATACTATATAGAAAGGAGGATTATTTTATAAAACTTAAGTCTATATTAAAGATTAACTTAGTAAATAAAGAGATTTCTAAGTTTTATTATACTATAACTAAATATAATTACTTTAATAAGGGCTAAGTACTTATTAAAGATAACTATTAAGGAGGATTTTAAAATCTTACTAAGTTCTAAAAGGAAATAAAAAGTTAGTAGTTTATTATAAAGTTCTTCTACTTTAAAATAAATAGGAAAAATTACTATTAGATTAGTTTTCTCTTTAATAAGAAAATTAGTATAACTTATTACTTAAATAGTTAGATTAATAGGAGAGAAGCTAGATATAGAACTATTATAATAAGCCTTTTAATACTATTTATAAGAATAAATATACTATATAAATTTTATTATACTAAGATAGTATTATTTAATTAAGAGAATAGTAATTTATATAGATCTTTTTATTTATTTTCTCTTTAAATAATAATTAAAAGTTAGTATAGGTTCTTACTAAAAAGATTATAGTTTATAATTAAGAGATCTAAATATATAATTAAAAAGAAGAAGATAGAAATCCAGAATAAAATAATAATCCCTTAATAGTAACTCTAGAGATTAAATAATTATTTAAAAAAAGAGATTTATAAAATATTATTAATAGTAATTTCTAATAAATTTAGCTTTATAAATTTTACTATTAAAACTATTAAGAAAGAGAATAGAATAATAGTTCCTATTATAAGAAATAAATACTTTTATTTCTCTACCTTTCCTAAGAATAAATAGAGTATTAATTTAGCCTCTCTATAAAATAATATTAAATAGGGTATTCTTTATAAGATAACTATCTTAAAGCTTATTTCTTACTAAAGAATTATTAATTTAGATAGTAAATATAATAAGCTTTATATTTTTTAATAGAGTAAAATAGGAGCTTTTAAAGATATCTCTATAATTAGTAGAAAAGCTCTTAAAATATCTTAATCTATTATTCTAATTTAGTAGATAAAGGAGAATAAAATATTTATATATATAAAGGTTCTAAATAATAGTAATAAGACTTAGCTTTTAATTATAATCTTCTATAATATAGTATTTCCCCTCTTAGCTAAAGAAGAAGATATAAAATAGCTAGTTAAGCTACCTAATACTATCTCTTTAAATAATATAAATACTACTACTTCTAAGTTTAACTAGATAATAGGATTATAGAAGGATATTAAGATAAAGTTTTAATAAAGTAGAATTATATAATTATTTAATTAAATAAGTTTAGATTTAAAATATAAGAAATTACCTTCTAGTTATAATATTATCTTAAGTACTCTTTTAAATATTAATTAGAGTTAGATATTTATACTAAAGATCTTAAGAGAATAAAATAAGTAGAGAACTAATTAAAAGAAAGTTATAAATCTTAACTTCTAGATTTAGATTAATAGAATAAAGCTAAAGGTTTTAATCTTAAATAATATATTTAGTAGTTAAAACCTTATAATTATATAGTATTAAACTATAGCTATAAATATATTTAAAGTTAGATCTACTAGAATACTAATTATTTACTCTTTCTAGTTTATAATATAAATATACCCTTTATAGATATAATAATTTCTAATAAGTTATTTAGTATTTCCTTAAAATAATAACCCTTTTATTCTAATAGTAGCTCTAGTTAGTACTATAAGCTCTAACTATTAGATAGATATTAAAATAAGAGTTAATTATATTAGTAATTAAATAAAGAGATAGCTTAGAACTATATTTTACCCTAGTAGAGACTAAAAGATAAAAAAAAGAATAAATAGAATAGGAATATCTTTTAAAGAATATACTAAGTAATATAGAGAAGTTAATAATAATATAGAGAATTAAAAAGAGAGTAGAAACTAGCTTTAATTAATTAATTAAAGTAGAAAGAGAAACTTTAAAAGTAGTAAAAAGTTTAATTATTTTTATAATAATTATAGTTTAATTAGTAATTTTAATAAGGATTAAAGAATATATTAAGAGTTAGTATAACTAATTTATAATCTATAGAATTAGAACTTTTATAACTATATCTAGGAAGAATTTAAAAGATAGCTTTTATTCCTAGATAGTATAAAAACTAGTTTTTAGCTATAGACTTTAAGAATATAATTTATAATCTTTTATATCTAATTTTATTATTCCTCTATAAGTAATATATTAGGAAGTACTTTTATAGGCTTTTATAGCTAATTTACTATAAGTAATTATTTAATTAATTAAATATAATTTATATTAAATATATAACTAATCTAAAATCTATATTCTAAATATATCTTATTTTTCTTCTTTTTATTAAGATATAGCTACTAACTAACTTAACCCCTCCTATAAATAATAGAAACCTATAAACTTAGTAGTACTTAATATATTCTAATTAATATTACTCTAATAATATTTTAAAATATATTATTTACTTAGTCTAACTATAGAAGCTATAACTAAGTATTTTTAAATAATATAAAGAGATATAATAAGCTCTATTAGCTAGATCTATTTATAATATAATATCTCTTAGACTGAGTTTATAATGAAATAAAATAAAATCTAGAGTAAGCTTAGATCTAGTAAATTAATCTTAATTCTAACTAAATATATTAGGTTGTATAATATTTTAGTTAATAAAAAATATTAGTATAGTACCAGAAATAAAGCTTATAGATTAAAGGCTATAAAGAAATAAGCTAGCTATTCTAATTTTATAAGAGATATTAGTAAATGCTAAGGCTGAATTACTATAGATAAAGGAGGCTCACTATATCTTATATAACCAGCAGCTGAGCTTCATTAACCACCTAGCCCAGCAGATCGACCCGCTATGTCTTACAGCACAGCCCAGGGCAGAACCATATCGCTTAGCATAGCTCGAAGAGGCCTAGCAGCATGCTGTCAGCTGACCTCGTATTAACGGTGCTCTACCGACCCATCAGTGCCTTTCCGTTGGTAAAGACAGAAGCTGAACCTTATCCCTAGGCACAAGCTTCTTCTTAAATAATTACTCTTCAGGTTCCTTTTTAAAATAAAAGAACTCTGTTCCGACTAGCAATATTTCCTGCTGTGCATAGTCCTGGAGCCTTAACACAGTTCAAGGAGATAAGGCATCTCTGCTTAACACTTGTACCTGCCAGGTACTTAGGCGCTCCCCCGGTCTTCTTGCCAATTTGCTCTCTGCTATTGTTGCAAGTATAACCCCCTCACATGCTGTTTTGCTCCTGATCGGATAAAGTTGTAAGTAAAAGTAGGAAATGAAATGCGTGTAGAGACGATGATTTCGCTGACTAGTGCTAATTAGAATCTCGATTAGCGGGAACTCGATGATTGTTTTGCTGCTTCCTGCATAGACAGCTCAGACTGTCTAACCAGGCTCTTTAGCTGCATACGGATGGTGATACTTCCTTTCTTCAAAGCTGGAAGCTGCAAGATCAGACACAAGATTGAATCTCTGTCTAGAGAAACCCGAAGATGTCTCCGACAGAGTTTGTCCATAGCGACTATACCGTGGGATGGGTCTGCGCCCTGCCAAAGGAGCAGACTGCAGCCACGGCCATGCTGGATCACATACACCCAGACCTGCCCAAGCCACCCACTGACCATAACACTTACACCCTGGGATCGGTCGAGAACCATAACGTGGTCATCGCCTGTCTGCCAAAAGGCAAGTACGGCACCAACTCAGCAGCGACTGTCGCCACCAGGATGCTCGACACCTTTCCCTCTATCAAGTTCGGACTCATGGTTGGCATAGGCGGTGGCATCCCTCCAAATGTTCGGCTGGGCGACGTTGTGGTTAGCACTCCAATCGGTCAGTACCCCGGAGTCGTGCAGTGGGATTTCGGCAAGGCAGAGAAGGGCGGACACTTTGAGAGGGTCGGCGCGCTCAACAATCCGCCAAGTGCGCTCCTAACGGCGTTGTCCAAGCTGGAGACGGCGCATGATATGAAGGGGTCTCAGATACCGCGATATCTGGACGAGATGGGAGCCAAGTGGCCTGAACTAGTGCCCAAATATATCAAGTCTGATTCCTTCAAAGACCCCCTACTCTCGTCAATGGGCCTCCGAGACGATCGGGATGGATGGTGGGCCTTGCTCTCTATAATATGGGCTGCGATTGTAGACCTTGTCAAGCGTCTTCTGGGATGGCAGGCATTTGCTCCCAATCGCCCCGCGGTCGAGAACAGCGCCGCTGATGGGGGAGGGCAGAAGGCGCCCAGAGGGAGGAAGGTCCATTACGGGCTGATTGCTTCCGGAAACCAGGTTATCAAGGACGCAGTCTTCCGCGATAATCTCAACTGCCAGCTTGGTGGCAACGTGCTGTGCCTAGAGATGGAGGCAGCAGGGCTTGCCAACGACTTTCCATGCATCGTTATCCGAGGTATCTGCGACTACGCCGACTCGGGAAAGAACAAGGAGTGGCAGGAGCACGCAGCTGCCGTAGCCGCGGCGTTTGCCAAAGATCTCCTATCGGTGGTGCCGGCCCAGGAGGTCAGCCAGATGTCTAATGCCAAAAGTAAGGAACAACTCGTCCAGTGAGGCTTTGTCTTTTGTACCAGTAGACGAATGGCACATCCCCATTACTGGGGTAGGGAGGCTTAGGGGAAGTATCACCGATTTAAGAAGATAGTAGTCTTGCTTTTCAATGGCTCTATAGCTAATAAAATTTAGTTTTACTAGGGATTGATACTAAATTGGATGAAGTGTCGAAAAACGTTGCAGACCTCCGTTGTATACAGCGCAACCAAGAGCATCAGGCAATTCTAGATTGGCTTACACCTATCGAGTATGCCCCGAAACAGAATGACAATCTTCGGAGTCGCGAGCCTGGGACGGGACAATGGCTCTTGGACTCCAAGGAGTACCAGGCCTGGCTCAAGACCAGCAAGCAGACGTTGTTCTGCCCGGGCATCCCTGGCGCGGGCAAGACCATCCTTACGTCAGTTGTGATTGATGACCTCGGCAGAAGATGTGACAGAGACAGCACGATTGGAATAGCCTACATGTATTGTAATTTTCGAGAGCAAGACAATCATAGGATTGATAATGTGCTGGCGAGTCTTTTGAAACAGCTGGCGGAACGACGGCCCTCCCTCCCAGAAGTCATCAAAGATCTCTATGACCGCCACAAGCCTAAAAAGACGCGGCCGCTTGTCGAAGAGATCTCGAGGACTCTGCAATCTCTAGCAAACACATATCTCCGAGTCTACTTTATCGTCGACGCGTTGGATGAATGCCAGGAATCTGACGGTAGCAGGGCAGAGCTCTTGAAGAAGCTATTTGCGCTCCAGGGGAGCTGCAGCGCAAACCTCTTCATGACGTCGAGAATGATACCCGACATTCAAGAGAGTTTCAAAGAGAGTTTCCTGGAATTGGAGATTCGCGCCTCTAATGAGGACGTGGGCAGATATATCGACAGCCGCATCGACTCTCTGTCCAAGCTGGTTCGAAGCGACCTACAGCTGCGCGAAGATATCAAAGCCGAAGTAACAAAAGCAGTCAGCGGGATGTACGTTGTCTAATATGCATTAATTTGTTTGCTCATTACTTGCTGACTTTGCAGGTTTCTCCTCGCGGAGCTTCACTTGAACTCCTTGAAGGGCTGTTATACGGCCACAAAGGTCCGAAGGGCGTTAAAGGCGCTGCCGACTGGATCGACCGCGTACGACGAGACATACGAGGCTGCAATGGAGCGTATCGGAAGCCAGACGAACACGAAAGGGTTTGCGGCAAGCGTCCTGGCGTGGATCACCCTCGCGAGGCGGCCATTCAAAACGTCCGAGCTCCGGCATGCGCTCGCTGTGGAGGTCGGCGAGGCCGAATTTGACCAGGGGAACCTCCCCCATATCGACGACGTAGTCGCCGTGTGTGCCGGGTTAGTCGTTGTAGATAAGGAAAGCGACATCGTCCGGCTAGTGCACTACACGACGCAGCAATACTTTGAGCGGACGCAGAGAGACTGGTTCCCCAGTGCAGAGGCCGACATCACAGCCGCCTGCGTCACGTATCTCTCGTACGAGACTTTTAAGAGCGGAGGCTTCTGGACACAGACGGAGCTTGAACAGAGGCTGTCGTTGCATAAATTCTACGACTACGCTGCGAATAATTGGGGCCATCATGCTCGTACATCTCTAAGCACAAGCCAGCAACTGATAGAGTTTCTAGAGAGTAATGAGCAGGCTGAGGCAGCTGCCCACGCCTTGATGGTCATGACTGAGTCCTGGGACTACAAAATTGCTCCACGAATGAAGGGCCTTCACCTAGCGGCTTACTTTGGAATAGCTGAAGCAATAGGCGCTCTACTCGGGCATGTGAAGTATAGCGACATAAAGGACAGCTACGGCTGGACTCCACTAGCATGGGCTGCAATGAAGAAGCATGACGCAGTTATCAAGTTGCTTCTTGAGAACGGCGCCGACGCAGATTCGATGGATGCGAATGACAGGACCCCGTTGTCACTGGCGGCCGAAAAGGGGCACGAGGCTATTGTCGGCCTCCTGTTGGCAACGGAAAGGGTCAATGTCGATTCGAAGGATAAAATGGGCAACACGCCACTACTTTATGCCGCTGAGAATGACCACGGTGCTGTTGTCAATCTGTTACTTACTACTGGCAAGGTTGACATATATTCAGAAAGCTTCAACACTTCTAGGACACCAGCGTGGGTGGCCGTGGAATTGGGGCACACGGAAGTTGTCAAGCAGTTCCTCAGCATAGGTAAATTTGACGTCAACTCAAAGAGGGGAATTGGCAGCACACCCTTGATTCATGCCGTTACAGGGAGGCATGAAAATCTTGTCAAGATGTTGCTGGCCACAGACAAGATCCGCGTCGACATGAGAGATAAATTCGACCAGACGCCGTTGTCGTATGCAGCCAAGGACGGGCTCGAAGCCATAGCCAAGCTGCTGATTAACATCGGTAAAGCCGACGTCAACCTGAAAGACGTAATCAACCGGACTCCGTTGCTGCTGGCTACTGAGAATAGAGACGAGAGAATGGTCGAGCTGCTGCTAAGCTCGGGCCAAACCCCTGTTGACGTGAAAAGCAATACAGAAACAACGCCACTTCATTGTGCCGCCTACGACGGCTCCGAGGAAATCGTCAGGTTGTTGCTGGCCACAGGCAAGTCTGGCATTAACATTTTAGATGGATACAATCGCTCTCCGCTACTGATAGCTGCGGATCATGGACACGAATCCATTGTCAGACTCCTGCTGGCGACGGGACAGGCTGACGTCGACGCTAAAGATTCTTCGGGGAGGACGCCTCTGCTATGTGCCACCCAGGGCTGGCATAAGGCCATCGTCAGATTGCTTCTCGAGCATGGCGCTGATAGCAATACGGTAGATAGATATGGCAAATCACCGCTATCGATGGCCGGCTCGAACGAAGCTATCGCCAAGATGCTGCAGGCTGCAGCCGCCAAGAGGGACAATCTTGGGCAGACCCTGGCGCCGTTTCCTGCCGAGAGAGGCCACGATGCGGTCGTTCAGCTAGTACTCAAGAGCAAGGGGTGTGTTGAATCGAATGTCAACAGCAGCCACATGCTACCTTCATGGGCCACCGAGTACGACGAGATGGTCAAGCTGCAGCTTGCAACAGGCAGGTTTGACATGGACGCGAAGGACCAAGATGGCTCAACACTGCTCTTGTATTCCTCCAAGCATGGACATGAGGGTGTCGTTAAGCTGCTCCTTGCTACAAGTGTGGTTGATATCAACATGACGAATAATTCTGGCCAGACGCCACTATCGTGTGCCGTTGAGAGCGGATACGAGCCCATTGTCAGGCTACTTATCGCAACCGGCAAGACCAACCGCTTCTCTGGCTTCTCGCCGGAGACGTATGCGGCTCTATTGCAGCACAAGGCTATGAGCAACCTATTCCTCACCGCATTCGATGGCAATGCCAACGCGGAAGCCAGGAGTGGATCGATGCTACTGAATATTGCCGAGTACGAGGCCATGTTCAGGCTGTTGATAGCCACAGGAAACTTCGACATTCATATGACGAACTCGGGCATAACGCTGTTGTGGCTAGCTGCCAGGAATGGCCACGAGTCCCTCCTTAAGTTGCTTCTCGATACAGGTAGGGCTGACATAAACCGGAGATATATGTCTGGCCTAACACTGTTATGCATAGCCGCCATAAAGGGGCATGAGAACATTGTCAATCTATTGCTCAGCACAGGAGAGGTCGATATAAACTTAAGAGATGATTCGGGGAAAACGCCGTTACACTGGGCAGCTACGGTTGGCCATCTAGGTGTTGTAGATCTACTTCTAGCTACAGACAAGGCTGATATTGATGCAAGGGATAATACGGGCAACACCGCGATATCGATAGCCAGAACAAGCGGTTATCAAGCAGTTGTAAGCATGTTGCTAGGGACAGGTGGAATAATTGTAGATGAATAGCCATCTCAACGCTAAAAGAAACTGATGTACTATCATTTATCAGTGCCCATTCATATACCAGCAGTAATACTCCTATTATTAGAGAGGTATCATTCCCTTACGCTATATTCTGCCTCTAGTATTAGTAATATTACCTTCGAGTGTTATAGTGTAAATAAAATTTGGATTTTTTTGCTAGCCCTGATTCCGAACACTGTCTGACTATTATTATTATAGATGGCCAAACCGAATATCACTCTCAAGACCCCCTATCACCCAAGCACAAACCATGCCAGGTGCAGACTGCAGCGACGTATCTAATAGAGACCAACAACGACATCACCCTTGACACGGGCAGTCAGGTGAACCTCGGCCTCAAGATCGAGCTTGATGCCAAGGAGCAGAGAGGCATCGCGGAGCTTGCCATTGTCGTCAGTGGCGCCCTTGAGGATTTGACCTATTGATACGATTAGTGTAAGTATTGAGTGCAGTGTAGAGAATTTGCGGTCGAAGGATAAGACCTACCAGCAGGCTGAGAGAGTCCGGTGGCGGTGGGCAGGGGGACAGTGAACTGCTTGTCGGTGACGCTGCCAAACATGGTTAGCAGTCGGCTCTTGGTTTCTATCCAAAGGACGAAGACTCACGAAGACATCTTGAAGGTATTTGGGGTCTGAAAAAGACGAAAGAGTTTGGGAGTTTATTTGAGTGGGTGAGATTGGAAGAGTGTGAGTGATGATGGGAAGAAGACGGGATTTCAACGAGGGCATGTGCTCTTTTTATATTCAATATACGGAAGTACAAGTCTACAACAAAACGTCTTTTTCCTTTTCTTTTTTCCTTCCAGCTCATAGTCATTGCAACTCGCACCACGTACTATGAGATGGGGCCTCAATGCCTACCCCAGTGAATGGAGACGCCCCTGCAGAAGAGACCTCCACAGCACGTCGATTGCCGAGGGAAAGATCCGCCAATTGTCCAATTGTTTGGACGCCAGCACACTTGTTCAGGGCCTTGATAGGGGACCTCCACCTTCTTGGCAAGGTAAAGGATCAGATCATGAAAATCTCGATACATTATGCAAATAATTTTAAGGCCCGTAGCTGCATCGCCAGCACAAACAGTTGCGAGGCACGGCATAGACCAGGTGGTGTGGGAGCAGGGAGCTCGAGGACAGCGTTTGAGCGCATATGGATTTATTATTACTGGGGTGAACTCAAGATGGAAGGGTATTTCGAGCACCGACTCGTGAAGCTGTGGTCAGTTTGCTAATCCTTCAGATGTGAGTTAAATCTGTGCCATTTCAGTCAAATTTAGCCGGTGACTGACTCTTTTTGCTCTATGGGCACCAGTGTTCACCAAAGATAATCGTGAATTTTGAACAAAATAAAAGCGACACATGATCAGACAAAAATTGACGTCGCCTGTCCTGTGCCGGTGGGCCCTCTCATTCATGCGTTTCGCGTCACCAACCTCCTACAGCGTCTCATTAGGCGCTGTACAACAGTTTGTGGCGGGTCTAGGTAGTCTATCAAGCTGGGGGTTTTCGTCATGATCATTATGCCGGCCTAAAACCGGCATCATACATGTAAGGTCGGGCGGGAATTGTAGGAATTCCTCCGGAGAAAGCTGCTCAGAGCCAGCCGATGCAAAACAGCACTGTCTACCTTCAGAACGACCTCTGATTTCGTTTGCTTTGGCGACCCTTGGATGTGCTGTACCGGCAGCTGAGGAAAATCAGGAATTGGGCCAAGTACGCACGAGAGGATTGCGGGGTAAAGAGGCGCATCTCCTCTATAGACTTCTCATATTGCGTTCTACCGCTCTAATTATGGCTATTCCGCGAGACAGAAGGGCCAGCGATATAATTCATCAGAACTTACAGGACAGGAGGTTCATCAGCTGGCATTCATCTTAGCTTAGGGGGGCTGCATGGCACACTCAGCGGGTTCCCGGCTGCTCCCGTTTCTACTCCACCAAGTCAAATTACGATCCACATGCAAGTTGAGTGTTTAGAATATCGTTCACCAACTGCCTATATAATATACATTTGACATAACACTGGTACATATGACCATACCTATTCGAGAACACGCGATCCCGTCCGCTCTCGCCTAGTTAAACGGATAAGGGGCCGATTAGTAGTTGGGTCGGTGACGACCAGCGAATACCGGCTGTTGTATGTTTTTTGCCTTTTTTTTTGGTAGAATCAAGTTTTTTTTTGGGCACAAATCATCTATGTTTCCCTTTCACTGTCAATCATTAGTTGTGAGCCCAAAGTTCCTATTGTACATTTTGAAAAAGCGGGGTTTCTGCAGGTAAATCCACCGGGAAATGCTGTCAGAGAACCAATTTGTGTTATAATCCAGCAGGTTGAGAACATGTTTCCTGGGCGCAAAAGCAATAAATCAATTGACCAACGTCGAGGCCAACTTTAAGAAATACTCTGTTTTACTCGTCCAAATGAATTTTATCTCACAAGATGTCAGTATCGTGGGTGCAAGAAAATATGTCTACGTATAGGGTAGGCGACGCGTTAACGCGTTGCGACGCGACATCGATTTGACTGAGGTAAATACGGGTAACCGGCTGCGTTGTCGCTCTGTTGGACAACTGATATCGCCTCTATAGAGAGTAGCTCATTTGTGAAATTCATTCAGGTTCTTCTGAGGTCAAAAGGAGGCATTAAAATGACCTCATGGCGGCTGACATTTGGCTCCTCAATTTTGCCCTGATCACATCCTGGCTCTGCTCAAAAGCTGTAGAGAGATCGCCCATCAATGTGAAATTATTGGCCCGAGCCACGTTTGGACCCAGTGACACGACTCGGGTGCTTCTATCAATTATTGAATTTCTCTCTCTTTCTTTCTATGTCGGTGTTCCATGTCACGTTCCCATAGTTGACGAACCTTTGGACCAACATCATATGTTGGCTGGCTAGGCCGGTCACAGTTGAGGGTGTTGGGGGTCATCTTATGAATGTACATCAATCACTTGATATCTCCACTGAAATAGCGCGTACATTTGTAAATTCGCTATAATTCATGCGAGGTAAAATGTCAAGACAAATAAATAGCTCAATTGATTGGATCTGATTTCTCAGAACTTCTCATCACGAGATCTGATAGATGACCGCGTAGGTAGAACGAGTTGGTGGTCGGCGATTGCGAGCGGAAAATTTCCCATGAACTGGGCTCTTTTCGATGTCAGTATGCCAAAAAAGCGCCTTATGATGAAGGAACGTGGATGTATAACCACTTGATCTTTACATGGTTCCGTAACCGACGCTTCTCTCAAGTGATAATATCTACGCTTCCGTGAGTGTGCTGAAATGTGCCATCTGCATTCATTGCTATGATAGTTCCGATCTTAGGGAGCTGGATCCCGGATAGATCGACCTGAAGTATCATTAGCCAATCCTATCCTATCCGTCGTCAGGATCTGAGGGATCGAATACTCACATAAACTTTTGCTAGTTGTTTAAAGAACTTCGTCTTGTGAGCCTTAGGAATAGCCATTCCCAAGTCCATCCCAACATTTGCCTCCAAGCAGTCCATAAGGGAAAATGGCGCATTCACACCTGAATCATGACTAGGTTCAAAAGCGTGGACTGCAGGTATGAGGATAGCAGAGCTTTGTGTTGGTAGAAGAATTGTGCTGTATTCACGAATACTCTTGGCTTTAAGGCTGCCTTTAGATGAACCTAAGTCTGGAAGCGGCGGTAGCTGTAGCCGCGCAATCCATCAGACTCCATCATCAAACTCGATTATTGGACCATGTGATTGCCACCAAGGCCGATAGCAGGAAGAATAGACGCATTGGCTCCGTTGCGTTGCTTCAAGGCATATTCAAGCAGCTGCGGCCAGTTCACAGTAACCAAGAAAGACTCTGCACGAGAGAGAATGGGCCCTGAACTTAAAGAGGAGAAATACGTCCATTGAAATCCGGAAAAAGACTTGGAATCCTCTTTAAACTTGTCAGTTGCAGCCACCAAACCTAGGAGGGGTTGTTTCTTGAGATGAAATACCTTTACGCTCCGCGTCCATGGTGTAGGGATAGGCTAGCAACTGAAAAATCTTTACAGTATCAAGTACTTGAAGTCTGCATCAGGTTTGGGTAATTTGCGCAGCTGTTCCAAGGCTGAGTGGAAGGGTTAAGGGGAGCGAGGATGGTGGGCAAAGCAAAGAGGCAAGCGTCAGCCCAAGTGCAAATGTGGCTGCGGTCAGGCTTCTCATGTCCATCATTGTTGGTTGTTGGTTATATGGATCCATTTTTGAGCTCCAGCCAGTGCTTTCAGAGGCTGTGTAGGCGTCGTAGTGCGATGCATGAAATGAATCAACACCAACTACGACCCTGTTCCTCAGTAGCGACTGGATGCGGAGTGCTTTATTAGAGGTCTTCGGGAATGGCTTTTGGATTACTTGAGTCTTTATTCTTCTGTTTATTAAAATACCTTATGCTAGATTGCTATTTTAGATCTACCCAGATACGTTGCTGGACACCTTGACATTTAGCCAAATTCGCACCAGTAGGAACAGCCTTGCTAACGCGGTTAGATCTGAAAAGAGAGTTCTAATTTTGGAAATCGTTTCATTTTCCTTCTCCACTTCGTAATCTTCAATCATTTCGCTCATTGTTCTTCCCAAAAGCTGCCACTCCGAGTAAAAGACCTTGAGTTTGGATTAAGCAATACCTCCCGGACTGGTTCCTCCAATCTCACAAACCGATTACTCAGACGGCAAGGGAGAAAATCTCGGCAAAATGGCCGAGAACGTAGCGGCTGACCAGGTCCTGACCTCGAAGCTCGACACCCGATTTCTGGACGGCGGCATAATTGAGCACAGCAACCTTGGGCGTCACCAAGCCGCTGAAGAGTTAAAGGCTACCAAAGAACAATGGATTCCCGACCAAGAAACGCCTACTTTGAGTCGGAGTGGCCGCAGTACCATACTTCTCCAGCGAAGCGTGACAGTCCAATCAAAGTCAGGGTGGTCAAAGAAATACACAAATCCATTGGCGAGGAAGACTATGTCGACTATTCTAAAGAGCTGGAGGCCATCGTTAAGTTCTCAAGATCATCGGTTAGTCCGCTGAATGACGCACGTTTTATGAAGGACGCCAACGCTGAACGTATTGAAAATAGCACTCCCACCTGTTCGTGCAAACGTACGGCTGGTTCGAGAACTCGACCTCTGTATTTATTACCATGGAGTATTTTGAACTCAGAGATCTTGGTCGCCAAGTGTCACAACCACTTCCAGTACAAGAAGCTCATCAGATCGTTTCCCAGCTTCTTGACGGCTTGGACTATATGCATAGTAATGGTCTTGTGCACCGGGATTTAAAACCCTCGGTACGATGTCTTGCCCGCAGTTCCATGGTCATGCGTGCTAATTTATTCACTCCTAGAATATTATGGTTGTGTCCAAGACACCCTCGTGGGTTGTAAAAATTGCCGATTTTGGCACAGCCAGAATGATTAAGAAAGATCAAGATGCTACCACCACACGACCCATGGGAACAGTTGCGTTTGCCTCGCCCGAACAGTTAGGCATAACAAGGCCAAACCCAGGCTATGAGTCTGCAACTGACATGTGGTCACTTGGTGTCATTGTTTTCAAGCTGTTGACCTACACGACGCCCTTTGAAGCCGTATACGATCTCGTTGGGTATGTGTCTGGGAAAACTCACCTGCCCATGGCGGACAAACTGCCTCCCGATACTCCCTTGAGTATTTCAGAGATGATCAGAGATTTGCTTTCTGTCGAGCCTCAGGAAAGGCCATCGGCACGTGCGTGTAGCAAAAGAGACTGGAGTCAAGTCAGTCTCGAGCGCCCCGATGATCGAGAAATAGACCGGTAAGTGTCAGCTAAAGTGTACTCGCTTGGATTCACAACTAACCAGCTTAATTATAGGCCTCTTGAAAGCAAAACAGAGCCGAATATGAACAAAAGTGAACCCGAGAAGCTGACTCTCCCTATTCGTACTAAAGCGGAGGCAGCAGATATAACGCAACCCATTACAGAAGGCCCTGTCGAGGGCAAAAAGACCAAATTGCAGGTTGTTCAAAAGTTTGTTCAAGACAACGATTGGAATCGGGCACTACCGCTTATTAAAGGCTTGGTCGAGAACATTGCATCGGTAGATGAGGCAGACAAACAGTTGTTGATCAGCCTAGTCGCTGACACCTTCCTTGGAGGCCATCTTTCAGAGTCCATTTGGTTCGATCATCCAGACATAAGAGCCGGAATTGCTAAGCAAATCGCCGAAGAACTTGGATTCTTGGAGAAGGAACGTCGCTACAAAGAAATGATAAGTCTTCTGGACCCATATAAGCTCCTCCGGCCTCAGCCTGAGCTGCTCCGAGACACGAGCCCACGTATGGCAAGATGGGAAGTCGAATTTTGCGACAGCCATGCATTGGCCTTGTTCCATTTGAAACAAGCCGATGAGTCCATTCACAACCTGTCTACTTCCCTCGAAGTGCCTGGCCTCGCTCCTGCCGAGAAGGGAATTCTTCATCACTCTCTGGCTCTTGTCTCTCTTAGCAAAGCAGACTGGAGTAGTGCAAAAGAGCACGGCAAATTGTCATATGAGGCCCTGCGAGAAGGGACACAGCCTAATCACGACATGATACTGGACAGCTTAAAGATAATTGTGACATCTTGTGGAGCTTCCGATGACACAGACTTTCCGATGTGGTCGCAGACTCTAGCCAGAGAGAAAAAGCAAGCAACAACATCAGCAGAGCCCGAGCCCGAGGCTTCTGGCAAAGGGAACAAGGCGGCCCGATTTGGGAACAAGGACAAGGATATTTCACGAGCAAAGAAGGACCTTCTCGAGTGTCAGCACGAAATGGCAGAGCTTTTCTCCAGCTATCCTTCAATGGCTGCCGAGCGAGGTACAAAATATATCCGCAAACATTTCAAAACGTCATTTCCGCTCTACCGCCGCTGCGATGCCTGCATCCAGGCCTACTTCATGGACAATTCCTGCTCAATCACTACCAAGACTGGTGGATCTTTCTGTGAGCAGCACAAAAACTTCAAAACCGACATGCCTTTCTCTCCGCTTCACTTCTTTTCTATATCTCGCCAAGATGCCGGCCCACTCTCGAGCAAGTATCGAAGTTGCGTCGAGGAGGTACAGTGCCTTGTTGAACAGGCGAGCAATGACGAGGATGCCATAAACCGGCCCCTCCGTTTCTCTCCCGTCAAGGCAGGCCATTTCATGGAGATCACGCCGATTTGGTTAGCTGCTCTAGACGGAAACCAACAAGTCGTTGATTACCTCCTATCTTTGAAGGCGATTAATCCGTATGAGGGTTATAAATCCCCCTGCCTGTTGCCGAGTCTGGGTATCCCGAAATCGCACCACGCTCTGATCTTACGCGTCTTCAATCAATTGTCTACCACCTCAGCCTTACGTGCAGTTGGATCATACCTCCCAATGAGGGAAGCACGCCCCAATCCCCCGTGGGTATTCGCCAGCGCATCTCTTTTAGATGGAGTCCTCCAAAAATGCAGAAGAAGGACCAAGGAGATACAAGTTCCGGTGCAAGTACGAGAAGGAGAGGTCCCCGTACAGCTCCCGCTTACTCATGGCCTTGCTACGCTTCCAGTCACTATCGTAGAGCATCAAAACTCTTATTCTTCACGGCTGGAGCTTTTCGAGACATTGGTGAAGCATGGTGTCTCTACTATTGGTGGTTCTGCGATCAAAGTGTTCTCCCGTCGTCTTGGAGAAGCCCTGGAGCTTCTTCTTCAACCTTCGCCTCAATCTCGAACGATTGATGTGATTTGTGGCCAAGTATCAGATCTATCACGGATATGTCGACACATTCATGAACGGCAGTCGGACCTGAGTTTGAATGACATGCACTCAAGTTTACTCACCAATTTCGAGAAGTTGAGGACCAATATTCACAGGGAGATTCAAGAAGTCATGGAGAGGCATACCAACAATGACAACCGAGGCTTGAGAAAAGTCTTCAGAATAAGTCGACTACCCGAATTGACAACCTTGGATTACGACCACAAAAAGACCATGTTCAACATGTGTGTTGCTGCCGAGGAGGCACATGCCTTGTTGCAAAGTCTTGGATTGCAGGATGATGATAATGCTATCGATCATATAGACGGCGCTTACCAGCCTCGCCGCTTTTTTGAAGGCACTGAGAATGACATTCACGTCTTTCTCCAAGGGATTATTCCTAGTGCTAGTGGGAACTAGATAATGTTAACAGTAAATCCCAATTTACGTTTCATTCTATATCGTTTCAGCTGTCTACCAAGTGTTTAGATCGGGAAGCTGCCTTAATCACGTGCAAGTAATCTGTGTGAGGCTAATTTATAACTAATTTGACTCCCACATGATCTGAACGAATGAGTCATGCATACGTTGGATGAGTCAACCACCTGCGTGTTTTCCTTGATCACCAAACTTGAACATTAAACCACGCTGGGATAAAACACATCTTGAATCCTCAAGCCTACGAGGTTCGAATACACCTAAAATGACTATTCCAGCGGAGTTACTTCCTCTCTTACAGAGATCTACGGGGGACTCACGGCCAATTGTGGTGGCGATGTGTGGTGTTGCAGGTAAATTTACCCTTTTGAATCTGCGGCATGGGGCATTTTGCTGACCTCCTCGTTTGCTTAGGCTCCGGAAAATCCACCTTGACAAAATCAATTGTCGCCAAGTTTCCAACGTTCAGCAGGCTATCTGTTGACCAAATGATATTTGACGCCCATGGGTTATACGGAGTTGACTACCCCAAAGAGCTTTACCAACAATACTCTTCAGAGGCAAATCAGAAGTTCATCGATGATTTTCGGCACCTTTTATCTTGTGACGAGCCTAGAGACGTGGTGCTGGATCGTTCATTCTATGCAAAAGAAGATCGTGATGTCTACCGAAAGTTGGCTCAAGAAAAGGAAGCTAGGTTCATCTTGGTGTTTTTTGAGATCAGTAAGGATAAACTATGGCAGAGGATTCAACACAGAGCTATAGGCGATAGGAATGCAGATTCTGCCTTCGACATCACATCTGATATCTTGGATAGATACGTCAGCGGATTCGAGAGGCCAGATAAGGATGAGATAAGCGTCACCATTACCAGCTAGACAGTGTTCTATCTTTTTTTCTTACAATTCATAGACAAACATATTTTCTTACCTGTTTATAATACTAAATATTCCGAGAGGGTGAGATGATCATGTTGTAAATTCTGCCTCTACTACCTCTTTTATCTTGATGTTTATATTCTGTTTAAAAGCTCAAGAGCGACCTTCTTGTTCATCTGTGCCTGGAGTTGTGTTCTCCTCATCAGTAGTTTGCCCCTTGGAGGGTTCCGGAGCTTTCTTTTGGAGGCTGATCCAAACTGCTCCACTAATGATGAGCCCGCTCCCGATAAAGCTGGTGATGGGAGGTGTTGTGCCCCAAACAATCCGTTCGAAAACCAATGCCCAGATCATTTGAGTGTACTGTAGAAGTCCATTAGCATTGGGTTTGTGGCGGGGCGTGGATGGAATTGATCAGAATCAACTTACAATAAGATTCGTTGCTCGTCCTGCCTTCTCTCTTTGTAGTCCCTCTGTTAGTAGTACCTGAAGGAGAAATCCAGAGATTCCGATGAATATTAATAGAAGCCTAAATTGGATATTAGAGAATCAGTGTTTACTAGCATTGCACTGCCGGTACTCACCATTGGGTCACCGTCTGAGGGATCTCGAATTGAAGGTCTGGATGGATCATGATTATCGCAAAGGAGCTGACAGAGCCAAGCACAGCGAAATAATTGACGCTAACGAGGGAGTGCGCTCGTTTTCCAATTACACGGATGGTAGCATACGCTGTGGCAGCGGCAAATGCGCCCAGGATCGCGCAGGCAATAGCCATTGCACGCTCAGCGGGACTCGCTTTCTCTGGAGGAACAATTCCTCCTTGACGGTCAATATTGATAGGTGAGTAGATATCAACTGTTAGAGACTGGTTCTCTTGACTGTCGTCCCCATGTTGGCTCGGAAACAAGTATGGTGGCCGAGCAATGAATAGTACACCCATAAAAGCAAGAAGCCCGGCGAGAGCCTCTCTGACCGTAAAGGGTTCCTACAATGAATGAGAAGCTGTTTTAGGATGGCATGGGGATCTCGGACGTACGTGAAGAGCAATCCAGCATACGAATGCAGTAAGAGTAGGTACGAGAAAGGTGATGACCGTAGCGTCCGACATGTCGAGGTATGATAGGGAATCTGGATCACGTATTAGTAGTATTCACTGCTCAGGCCTCGCTTGAGGCTAAGGCCATGCATACAATATAGACCGAACAACCCAATGGTTCCTGCAGTCCCTCGAATAACGAGGAGTCTCCTTACGCCACGAGGGCCAAATGGGAACCCAGGAACGCCTTTATACATCATCCAGAGAGAGCCGATAATTGCTGTTGAAAACATGCGAACAAAAATGATCTGCAGGGCGTGGAACTTGGTCTCGAAGCCAGTTTCAAGCAACTTGGTAGTCATTATCATCTGGATAATTTCATCATTAGCCAGTGCATTTGAGGACAATAAAGGGCTAGACTGGTTCTGCTTACCGTTGACGCAAAGAATTGGGCGAGGAAAACAAGGAACAGGCCAAAATTCTTGTCATAGAATTCTCGAAGGCCTTGCAATAGACTTTTAGGTTTATCCGTGTGGCCTTGCTCATTCTCTCCGTCAGTGGCTGTAGGCTGAAGTAGCGGGGCCGTGGGATCGGCATCATCACGACCAGGAGCCGGAAGCCTTGGAGAATCATGGGCCACCATCTTGGGAAGATTGAAGAGAGTCGCTGTTGTTTGGGCTCTGTTTCTTGATTTTAGGTGGCTTCGGTTATACAAGCACCGGTGAGAAAAATTCTTCCCCTCACGCGCTTTATTAGTTGCCGAACTGGAAATTCTCAACGCCGGGTTCAGATTAGTCATCCGGCAATTGGATTTGCCCCCTTCTGAAGTTCTATTACTTTGCTGCCGCAACATGCAAAAAAGATGGACAAAATAGCTTATGTAGATCAATGAGAAAAGCATAGAATCAGAAACCTTTCTAGAGAAGGACAGGCCGGATTTCAACAACGAAGTATGAATCTGAAAGAAGACTGGACAAATTTGTACAATTATGATCCAAGTGGACTCAAATCCGGTATACCTTGTCACTTAGCCTTGAACATTTTCTGATTTTCGGTCGGCTACTACAAAGTATTGTCCTTTTTAAAAATAATTTCAAGGCAAAGGCTATTCCATGTTGATCGGACTGCATCTTATTCCCAAATATCGAGAAACAGGCCTTGGGTTGAGCTCTAGGTTTGGTGCGGGCGGCTCTGCCTACTGGCTCCTTGTCCGAGACCCTGGTTCAGATGAAGACCGATGATAAAATCTATTAAGCCGCCTATCTTAATAAGTCTAAGGGCTTGCTAACCTGAGTAAGAATTCATGGAATACTCGATGAACCAATTCATCTGAGATTTATACTCGGATGAGTTCCTAAGCGGTTTGACATATCCATCCGTTCGACAGCCCGGCTTGACTTCCTTCCCGGAAAACCTGTCTAGAACCCAATCTAGCCAGATATTTTCGCCGTAAAAGAATATGGGCAGGTGGGTAACCTTTTCAAATTCAATATACTCAATGTTGGCCTTCTCAATAGCTGCACATGTCGCATCGACGGCTGCACGCACGCCAGTGGCATTGACAGTGCTGTCCCCGGTGCCTTGAAGGACGAGTAGAGGGCCGGCAAAGGGTTTCGCGATGACAGATGTTAAACGCTCCCAGGATTGGTAGTACCATGACTGGTCCCAATCCGATCTGATGAGATCTGCCGAAATAAAGAGTTGGGTTGCGACCGACTGACTTCCTTGGAGATCTTGGAGCAGCCGGACCACACGCTCTCCCTTCTCAGTCAGCCAGTCACTAAGAGAGAATTCGGGAAAGATAGAATTGACTCCCGTAGCTATACGCGACAACACAGAATTGAGAGCAATCTGAGAGGTCTCGTGCGTTATCCGGGTCTTGAGTGACAGCCATGGAGCACCAGCGATAGTGCCCAGATAGCCCTTGCCCAAGTCTTTTGCTTCTTGATCATTACGACCCAGAACCAAAGAGGCGCCCCACTGAGTTTGCGATCATTAGTTACATGTAAACTTAAACATCTGCATTTGAAAAGCATGAACTTACCGCAGCACCCCCGCCCTGCGAATGTCCCATTATCACGAATTTGGATCCAAGTTGTCTCCATGCCTTCTTGGCGGCTTTTGTGGCATAAAGGAGATCATACCCGGAAGCTTCGTTGGCCAGGAACTGATGAGGGATGGTGTTTCCGTGTCCATCGTGGTCTAGACCCAGGCCAACATAGTCGGGGACAATCACAACGAAGCCGCGTGCACTTGCTGCACTTGTCGTCATCCACTGGTTGCCCAGATTGCGCATGTGGCTCATTCCACCTTCACCGGACCTACATCAACATCACGACAAGTCAGCAAAATCACAGAAACTCAAGTTAAAGAAAGTCATGTGAAACTTGAATTACTGACCATCCAATAGCGCCATGTGCCAAGGTGATTATCGGTAACCCATCGGAGCCTTTAATTTCTTGGGTAAACCATGGCCATAGTACGAAAGCAGAAGCCGGGACAACAGTTCCGTTGAAGGTTTTACTCGTATATATAAATCGGGAGAGACCTAATGTCGGTGGTATCGTGTAAAGTGATATGTTGCTTCGTTCCTCAATTTTCACGATAGATCCAGGCGGAAGCGATGACCAGTTGGATGGGAGGTCGGTATAAAAGGGGTCCAAGCGAACCGATGTGCCCGCCCAATTGGACCTCTCAAAATTCAGTGCAACAAGAACCTTTTCCCCTATCTCCGCCGATAGATTGGCTTGGTTGATTCTGTCCATGGCGGTTTGGGGGTTGTACGGGCCATGGGTGGCATTGAAAGTGTTGTTCTGCACGCTGGCAGCTGGTCCTGTTTGAGCGACAACCTCATGAAGGCCCGCGCTCAAAAGCACCGAGATGCTGAGGAGTAATCGCATACTGGACGATATAGAATTAGGCGAAAGAGACAAGAGTAAGTTAAGTTCCACGTTCTTTGATTAATCACTTCAAGTAGATATATAGTAGATGGAAGTATAAAATCTCTCGGCCTCGGTGCCCGTTGCCGAAGCTTCGGCGATTTCCCCACGTTTTTCTGAGTGACATTTCGCGGGGTCATCATCATCCTTGACCACTGGGGAAATCAGATGCATCGGACCGAGAATGGACTGCTTCTCAAATGGATATCGAGCTGGAAAAGCTCGGATACACACCGGAAAAACTGTCTTCTTCGGTGCCATCTGCGGAGTTCAGTTTTACTAAGATGGTTCGGATTAGCTCTTAGCAGCGCGGTGTCGCCAACGCTTTATGTCTGTCATTCTTGTATTCCTTCTTTCTCTTCCTTGATGCGGATGAGAGTTCCAGTACAAAGTATAAACAGCATTGATAGATAACAGATCCCATATCTCAACACAATGAATATTCTCTCCTTTTCCATCTCTCAGTGGGTTTGGGCTTCCAGGCATAGAAATACTTACCTCGGTCTACCAGCAAAGAACGAATGGTATGAGAACTGCGGGGTTGGCTTGTCATTCTGGATCCCTCACTCTAGCCACCTCCCTTTTCGAGACTGGAGCTTCGAGTGGTTTTGTGGCGATGTGGGTCGATGTTATTTCCTGTGACGTTCTGCTGGCCCGTAGTCACCGGGTGAGTTCTCCCTGATGTCTGTTATCTTATTCGCTCACCAGATGTGCGTGAAGCTCGTCCCTGGGATATTCTAACTTGTTAGTCATGTAAAATCCTGTATCGGATTTGGCCTATCCCGGACATCAACAAGGGCTTCGGAGTTTGTGGCAATAAGTACTCTACTTCAGGACATTATTACATTATCTACAGATCATACTATTCAAAGTCTATCGATAAATCTTGATCTCTGGATTAGAATAGTGACTTCTCTTGATAATTGGTGCTTAGTATTCCATCTACCTTGAAGCAGACAGACTTTCACACAAGAAGCATATGTCTCTCGTCGGATTTCGTTGCTCGGAGATCAATTCTTAATATGACAATGCGTGGAAAGTATTTTGATTCCCAGTGATGCTGCATTGCCACCAAACATTTCAGGGCCGAGTTTCATCTTGATAGAAAAGCTTCCAAGGAGGATCTACTGCAGGCGGAATCCATTTGGAAATAACGCCACAATAAGCTGTCATGTATCACCAAAGGGCTTCACAACAGGCAGGAGAACGCGAATATTAATAATCAGACTATTATTATTTAACGGCTCGAAAGTGTAATGCGGAAGTCTCAATTACCTATTTAAGCATATCATTAGACATGACTCCTTCCTAGTCAGCTTTCCTCCACCTTTTGTCGGAAAGTCTACGTTCCATGTTAAGTAAGAGAGTATGTCCTGGAACCTATTAGAAAACATATCGAATCCAGCTGAAAGCTCGCACTTCGGTTCTGCATGAATAGAAATCCCAACATGATACAACCACCTCGTCATATAAGATGCTTCGTGCGAAGACCCTCCCTTCCCGTGGCTGATCTTCGTGATCAATTGGTCTGCTTATTGTCAGAATCACCCTTGTTCCCTAACAAAAGCCGGGGTAAGTGTCTGCGCCACCTCTCGCCCCTGTCGCTTGCACTTATTAGACGACGTTTATGGCATGTAGATTGTCTGCGGAGACGGATCGAGATGTGACATTGTTTATCGCGCGTATAGACACCACACTTACGGTACTTTGGTATTACTTCTATAAGAATCTTGCAGGAAACTTGGTTGGCTCTTAGGTTAGAGTCTTCCGGTTATGGAAACAATCTAGAACTTAGGGTCATCGATGTCTTGGTCTAACAGTTCTCACGGGATAGTACCACTGCTCCAACCAAAGCCAGATCAACCTAGGTTGTTTTATAGTATTTCCTATAAAACTACAATTACCTAGGGAAGCGATAACGTAGTGGATCATTTGAAGACTACCTTCCTCCCCAGCTCAGCCTTCCAGCCCCCGCCAGGAATGATCGGCATCTATGAAAATCTGCCCCCCCTGCGCATAGTCTGATCCTGTTCCATGAAGCATGGATCGTACAGATATAACTACATATGGAAGGACACTATGAGCTTGGCGAGGTGGTATCGTATTAGTTGGCTGCGCCGTTCTAGGCAGAGAGTAGTTCCAAGCGAGGACTGAAATGCCTATATATATTCTGCCGCAATTCTCTTCACCCTTTCAATGTAAAAATCCTTGGTCCGAATATTATATTATATTTAAGGAACACTAACGTCCATCATGCGGTCTTATCAAATCCCCTTCCTAGCTCTCTTGACAGGGGTCGCTTCAATCCCTCATGAAGGATTGACGGAGCGAGATGAATCCCAGTCCTTCTGTGGATTCAAGGTCCCAACCGATAATGATGCTGCTACGATTTCCCGCCTAAAGGAGTTTGATAGTGATTATGCCTTCTCTAGTAATCAAGGCATCCTGGAGGTTGCGGAGCCAATTGTCGTTGAAATGAACATTCACGCATCTCTTCCAACTGACAGTCCCGACGATTACGCCTCCGAGGAAGTTCTGGAGAAACAGTTTGACGTGTTGAAAACCACCTGTCAGTCATTTGAATCTGCCGCCTGATGAAAGCTTATTCAGGCAAACGAGGCACCCACTACAATAACTAACGTGTTTTCTAGTCGCGCCTTATGGGATAGAGCTCACACTTGGGACAATCTCCCGCGAACTTAATGACAGTATCTCCAACCTTTCAGGAGGAAAATACGCTGGCAATTACGGTCAGCTATCCGGTGGACCACCGGCTCTTGAGGACTACTGGAAGCGCACCCGTACTGGAGGCTACAAATCCGCTCATCTATATGTCTACCATCAAATCGACGATGGATTCATCGGTATTAGTAGCTTCCCTGAACTTGAGCGACCCGAATCGGACTTCTGGCTAGACTCTGTCCATCTGCTTGCCCTAACGCTTCCCGGTTCCACAAGTACGATCTGGAACCAGGGAAAAGCAGCAATTCACGAGTTTGGGCATTGGTTCGGTCTCTGGCACGTTTTCCGAAACGGATGCTTGCCAGGCGATGGTGACATGGTCGACGACACTCCTGCGCAAGTGGATAATCACTACGGAGAATGCCCTACGGATGCAGACAGCTGCCCTAGCCTAGAGGGCTTGGATACCCCATGGAACTACATGAGCTACGGTGGCGACGCTTGCTTTACTGGCTTTACTGATGGGCAGGTGACCCGCGTGCACAACATGTTCCATAACATTAGGGAGGTGGTGTAACAGAGGAATGTGGAAATATGATGTATCTATTGGTCGTGTTCGGGAAAAGAATGAGCAGCTTGCTGTTTTCCTTTCGTACAGTAGATAAACCTAAGGCATTTCTGCATAATCATATATAGTTGATATAGCTTAGTTGGTGACGAGTTTGGGTCCACGTGTCATGAAGCATCAGTGCCTGTGGTTCCTCATCCCAACGAAGTTTGGATTGCCAACAACAAATGCGAAATTTTGTATTTAAGTAGGTGAAGCACAGACGGCGCCTGGACATTGCCTGCATAACTCAGAAGGGGTATGTTGACCAACCGGCGATATGAGTCATACCGAAGCACGTAAGATTTATAAGGCATCTTTTTTCTTCGGCTTTAGCTACTATGCTATATAAGTGTACTTTAATTCACGATTATTAACCTGTGTTGCTTTGTGGAAAGAGATATCAAGAAATCTAGTTTATAAGCCTCTGTTGAGTTGAAATTGGTTAAAATGTCACACATTCCTGTTCGGGTCTTGGTCACGGGTTTTGGTGTAAGCACACGATGTCGTCCCTGAACTCGACCGTTATTTAACAACTTTAGGCTTTCAAAGAAATCGCTGTCAATCCCTCTTTTGAGATTGTGAAGCGCCTACCGCCATCTGTTGCAGATGTCGAAATCATCGCTCATCCTGAGCCAACCGAGGCCGTGTACCATAAACTCTTGGAAGTCTCACCTCGCCTGATCCAGCAGCATAATCCAACAATCGTCCTTCATATCGGACTAGCCGTCGAAAGAGACTATTTTGCAGTGGAACAGAGTGCCTTCCGCGACGGATACCATGAATATCCCGACGAGGAGCGCAAGGTGATCTCAAAGTTGGATGTGAAAAAAATCTGGGGAAAGAAGAGTGCAGAAAATCTCAGCTCATCTTTCGATTTGGAGTCTGTGGTTGAGGTTTGGAAACGGAATTTGAGGTCACGATCTGGTAACAAAGCCAGGGGCAAGAGAGAACTAAAGTCATCGCAACAACATCAGCTGCCTGATGTTAGATTCTCAGATGATGTAGGGGCGTGGGTATGCGGACTAGTTTATTACTCATCTTTAGTTGAATGTTCCAAAAGCAGCGGTGGCCAACGGAATGTTGTTTTTCTACACGTCCCGCCACTCTCAGGAGATTCAGAATTGGAGATGGGCAAAGAAGTTGTGCTCTGTTTGATCATGGCTCTAGTTGAATCACTCCAATAGATCGCCAAAATGCCTCAGAGCTTAGCACCGAATTAGGGAACACCGATAGAATTCTTTTCAAATAATTTCCCTTGAGAGAAAGAGTGTTGGTTTGGAATAAGTTCGAACAGCATGTATCAGTGTATTTTCTTAGAATAGACTAGAATGGAGTCATTCACGAATGGGGAACCCAATGAATATAGGAAAAGCGAAGGTTGTATTTATTCTTATGAGTTCTTCAAACTGGTGTTGACAAAGTCAACCTGCCATGCATTTACTCTGTATCCTGTAAAGTGGCGGTTACACGTGTTCGAAATGTTGGCCTATGTCTTCCGTACTACTGGCTTCCATTACAGCTTCGAGCGGTTAGAAATAGTGGCAGACTTCTCACAACCGACCATAAGTCTCAGGAGACTTCTCATCAAATGACGGGGATTCTGGTTCCTTGTACGTTGGAGAATTGACTGGTTGCCGACAGTTATAACAGAGAACTAATCCCTGTTCTGCCACGGTAGCCTCGCCCTTCGCTTGAGCTTTTGGCTGGAGACGGTATCGAAGGTCGGTTTCGTAGCAAGCAATGACGAAGAGAGCAAAGTGAGCTGCCCTGTTAATGTGTCAGTACTTCCAGCTCCTGGTGGTCCGCTTCCCCATATCGGTGAGTCGGATAGATAAGCTAATATAAGACTTACAATATGAGACCGCCCATGGTAATCCCGGCAATCTTCAGATCGTTTGCGAGCCTCCCGTAATCATCAGAATTGTAGTATGATCGTGTTGACGAAAAGACGAATGCGATTGTCCCCACGACATAGCCTCCAACTAGCAATAATTCGACCACAATACCGGCAATAGGGTTGACGCCAAAGCGGCCTGGCCGTCGAAGGATGCAAACGATGTCCGCATTTCCCATGAAGAAGGTGACGACTGCCTATATTCATCGGTTAGTAACTGCTACGTGAAACGTTGTGGTGGACGTTGATCGGTACATACTTGAGGGACCAGCACTGCGCTCGCCATACCACTGAAGGAAGTGTCCAACACAGCGCAAAGCGCAATCAAGGCAATGCAGAAGGCTACCGAGAAAATACGAAAGACCAGCTTGCTGATCCAGATGCTCCTTGGGGAGTGATGGTAAGAATGTATGGCTGCAACAGTCATTGTGAATCGCTTGCTGGGTTGTTAATTCTCCAAGGATAACAGCTAGGGGAAAGGATACGATTCCAGGAAAAACCAATGATACGAGTTGATGATTCTTATAGCAGGTGAATAGAGTTTAACAAGAATTGCCAACAGCAGAGGGCGATCTTTGACATCTGTTTCAGAGTCTTTGTACGCTTAGTGTAGGTGGAGAGAACTAGACAGCAGATCAATCAAAAGTCCCATTGAGGGTACTGATCAGACTTGCACAGCCCCGTCCTCCGCTTCAACCCCGCGCGGCATGAAACTACTATCTTATATATGATTTGTCCGACTCGTGTGGATCGGCATACATGCCAACTGGCGAAGAGTTTCCAGCGGGGATATTCGGGTGCCAAGCCAATGCTGGTCAGTACTATGATGCCAGCATATGTACTTCAGTCTGTCGATCAAATACTGCCCTTGAAACGTTGTCGTGCGTGGCAGGTAAAAGCACAGACCTGAACTCTCGTAGGATCGCTGTAGCTTCCTTTCCAAACCATGACACCTAATAGCCATAGTTGGCTGTCGGATTTTGTTGTCACGTTGCCACATGTTGAGCGCATTCACCCCGACTACGTAGATGAACCTCCTAACTTATTCACATGCGGTATATAGGGCTATACGACGATGACTGTATCATTGGTAATGCGAGACTTACCTGGTACAGTCTCCTTCCCCCGCTTTCTTGGGGGCCATGAGATTTGAAACAATGTGCCACACGCCAAAAATATCAAAGTACCCGAGGCCGCGCAGTCTGCATTACTAAATAGTAGACGATCTTAACAATAAGTTCGAGACCGCCCATCGCCAGATACGCACGTGTTGGAGGGTGGAGTTTGCCAAGGCGACATCTCGTGTTGACTCGAAAACGTGAAAGACGGGGGTTGGATCGACCTCGTATCTATTTAAGGCAACATACGATCTGCGATCTAACGGCATCGTGTACCGTACCCGAGCCTAGGCAAGCCGAGAGCCATGCTCACATGGGCAATACCTTATTTTGTTAGAGTAGAAAAAATATGTGAACGGTGGAAGCATTGTTGTCTGAGTGACCAAGTTCTGCCAAACGTTTTACTGAAAGAGACGCTCTTACTAGCGGCCAGCAGAGATTTGGTCTGCGCAGTGTCAACTGATGGAGTTTCTGTCTTTGAATAACGTAAAATAGGATCATTTAATTTGATAGTATCAGAATATATCTGTAACTGCACCTTCTGATGCATTGGACACGAGATGAGCATACTTGGCTAATGTGCCGCGAGTTACTGGAAGCCGCCGTGGCTTCCACGTTCTTAATCGCTCTTGAATCTCCTCGTCTGAGACGTGGGGCATCTCAATCTTATTGTTCTCAGCATCGATTCTAATGACATCTCCATCCCTGATTGCGGCAATGGGGCCGCCTACGGCCGCTTCTGGGACAATGTGTCCAACGATGAAGCCATGGCTTGCACCGGAATATCTACCGTCAGTTATCAATGCGACATTCGTGAAGCCACCTCCTTTTAAGGTACCAGAAGCTCGAAGCTGCTCAGGCATCCCGGGGCCTCCTTTGGGGCCCTCATAGCGAACGACGAGAACAATATTCTCATCGTGTGGAATCTCACCCTTGTCTAGGGCGGTGCAGAGAAACTCTTCTTTGTCAAAGACTCTGGCCTTCCCCTCGAAGTGCAAGCCTTCCTTGCCAGTGATCTTGGCCACAGCCCCTCCAGGTGCGATATTTCCTCGGAGTATTTCTATGTGGCCACTGGATTTTATCGGATTGCTTAAAGACCGAATGATCTCTTGGCCCTGAGGGAGAGAAGGCCAGGCCTTGACGTTCTCTGCCAACGACTTGCCGGTGACCGTCATAGCCGTACCATCTAGAAGTCCCCCGGCGATTAGAAGCTTCATCACCGATGGTATACCGCCGACGTTGAATAGGTCTTCCATGGTGTGCTTTCCACTCGGGGCCATGTTGGCGATAAAGGGTGTTTTGTTTGAGACACGCTGAAAATCGTCGAGAGTTAGGTCGATCTCTGCCGTTTTTGCCATTGCGAGAACGTGCAGGACTGAGTTAGTTGAGCCTCCCACGGCCATAATCATGACCAGTGCATTTTCGAATGCCTTCTTGGTCAGAAGATCTCGAGGTCGGATATTCTTCTCCAGGCAGATTCTAATGGTCTCCCCAATCCGTTCGCACTCTCGCAGCTTGGCTGGAGATTCAGCTGGGGCACTCGAAGATCCCGGTAGGGTGAGGCCGAGCGTCTCGATCACGGTAGCCAAACTGTTTGCCGTATACATGCCACCACAGGCGCCGGCCCCCGGTACGGAGTGTTTCTCGATATCTGAAAGAATCTCTTCTGCAGAGTATTTTCCATCCTTTGACCAGTCCTTCAGAGTTCCAAGCGTGAATGCACCTCTGGCTTCAGAAGGCGTATTCATGTCGATTGGCTTTTGGAGGGTCTTGCTGAAGCCACCTCTCTGGGTGCCACCATAAACAACGACAGATGGTCTGTTGTGTCTCGCAATACCCATAACACAACCGGGCATGTTCTTGTCACAGCCCGGGACGACGATGCAGGCGTCATGGGCCTGCGCACATGTTACCGTCTCAATGCTGTCTGCAATGATCTCTCGAGATTGAAGAGAAAACCGCATGCCTATTCTATCCGTTAGTTTCAGTTTCTGAAAAAGTTCCCAAGTCTCGAATTACCCTCATTGCCCATCGTGATTCCGTCCGACACACCAATTGTGTTATATCTCCATCCCAGAAATCCCTCCCTGTCAACTGAATCTTTGATCGTTTTGCCAAGATCGCCAACTAGAGCGAGTTAGAATTTTCGGACTGCGTACAAAACCTAGATTCGGGTTTACATACGATGCATGCTAGATAATCGTCAGCCAAGTTCGAACACGGGTAGACAAGGTCAAATCGTACTTGCATGGATTACCTTCCCACCATGCCGAGGCAATTCCCACATGGGGGCTCTTCTGCATTGCCTCTTCATCTGGCACACCTGCCGCATATAACATGGCCTACTGATTTATTAGAACTGCCGATGTCTGACACTTTCACGAGATATCACCTTTGCTGGAGGAAAGTCATGCTCTCGCGTGATGAATGTTGAGTGTCGATTTAATACTAAATCCCCATCTCGCGTAGCCGTACTATCCATATGTGGGAAGTTCACATATCGTGCTTCTGGTACATCATTTTCTTCTGTCCTTGAGGGAGACATGGCTAAGAAATTGTTAGAGAGTAGACAGCCAAATTCTAGGCCACCCGAGAGAAAGAAGATGGTTGAATTGTAAAGTCTGTAATGCCGACAGCGCTAGATTTCAGAATGACAAGTTCAATCAATTGAACTAAAAACTCTCTTCCAAATGGTTTCGCCACTCCCTCATTTGTAAAACAGAATCGAGGATTGGTCGCTTGGTTTTGGTGTTTTAAGATGCCAAGCAATTCATGTCCGGACAGACATTGTCCAGGTTTTGCGGGTCTTCGGACAGTTACAGTCCGGAGGTGTTCGCGTGGATTCTTATCGAACCTAGAAGCACACTCAATGTTGAATCATACATTCGTGGGGTATATCTGTGACATGAACAACGCTTTCCTCCTTTGACTGAATAGATAGCCTGCAATTTACCACTCAGCGAGGTGCCTTTTCTTGAAACCAGCCAGTCAAGCATCCCTCGATTCATTCTCCACCAACCCCAGCTTTTACATATGAGCAGGCGAGTCATTGTGACCGGCGGATCCGGCAAGGCTGGCCGCCATATAATACAATATTTGTTAGACCAGGGACATCATGTGCTTAACCTCGACCTTGCACCCTTACCAGGCGACCTTGGCAACCAAGTACATACGCTCAAAGTCGATCTCACCGATGGGGGCCAGGTCTATAGCTCAATTTTGTCTCACTTTAAATTGACAGAACCGTTCAGCGAGCCAGTCAATAGTCCTCCCGATGCAGTTATACATCTCGCAGGCATCGCAAGAAACATGCTGGTCCCAGACATTGAGACCTACAGAGTAAACACCAGTAGCGCTTTCAATATTATCGAAGCCTCCTGCAGGCTTGGGGTCAAGAAAATCATTCTGGCGAGTACGGTATGCACATATGGGGTCACTTATGCGGAGGGCGATGTCGATTTTCCGTCATTCCCCGTTGATGAGGATATTGATGTCAACCCCATGGATGTCTACGCCCTTTCCAAGGTCTGTTGCGAGAAAGTCGGCCGCAGCTTTGCGAGAAGATTTGGCATCGATATCTATGCCCTTCGAATTGGCGCGGTGATAGCCCCTGACGAGTATGAAAAATCATTTCAAGGCTATGTAAACGACCCTTCAAAATGGAAAGCGCACGGTTGGTCTTACACAGACGCTCGTGATCTGGGCAAAATGTGTTCCTTGGCCATCGGTACGGATGGATTGGGCTTCCAGATATTCAATGCGACAAACGACCACATCACAAATATGAGAAATACGTCCGAGTTTTTAAGGGAACAGTGTCCAAACACACCATTTACCAGAGAAATGGAGCCAAGAGAAGCACCTATGAGCAACCAAAAAATCAAGAGGCTGCTAGGCTTTGAACAAGATCACGAGTGGACAAAGTATTGCCCAAGCGCCAGCTCAATTACATGACCTATAGGACTTCTAAATATAATAACTTGATTCGAAGAAATCTAGGCCTGAATAGTCGCCAACCATGTTTGAAAGTTGTAGCAACTGTTAGTCAATAGTAGCCCAAATGTAGTCCAAACTTGAATCCCTGAGGACATGGAGAAGAAACATATATCAAGTTTGACTCGGTCGCTTCCAAAGTGATTAATACTAAGCCAGAGGTGACATTAAACAGTTTCATCTCTACCCAGATACCACTCGACAGTACACAACCCACCCAGTATCATCTCATCGGCCTCTTCCGTGTTCCGAGCAACGAGTACGTGGGGCTGCAATCCGAAAGCGATTTAACCCGTGCGGGGTAGGAGGATTTGAATTAAGTAAACAAGCAATGGCCCCAGACTCTGTGGAGAAATCATCACCCAGCTCCATTTTTGCCCTGCAATATTGTCAGTTCAAACAACGCCCCATCATCTGTACACACAATAGAGACCCATTGTCCAAATCCAGGACGGCTCTGGAGCTCCGGACAGCTCGGATGGTGGATAGCGATGCTTGGAAAGGGGCGAGGAGACCAAGCTCGATCATCTCGGCGGACAACGCTATCATGCGAACACTGTCGAGAAAAAAAGGTTCGGGACAATTGATCTCTCTTTCATGCCCGCAATTTGCAATCTTTCTTCTCTATTACTGTTTCTTTGCTAATGAGATCAATATCACCTACAGCTCAAATGCGATGGGGCAAAGCCGGCATGTAAAGCTTGCGTTGCAAAAGGCAAAGAATGTATCCCTCAGACCCCTACGCAACAGCCAAGGTAGAGCACTCCTATTCACTCGAAACAGCAGAGAACTAAATTTGAGAAAGGCCCACGAATCGACGGATAAAGGAACTCGAAGATGAAAATCAACGGCTTCGTCAGCTCCTCCAAGAGGCCCGGAAAGATGGGCAAGAAACCAATGTCAACAGCGCCCACTCATCGTCAAGTGCACAGGTCGCCGTAGAATCTACGCAGAGGCAGTGGTCGGCTGAAGATAGCCTAGAGCCCCCAACAGGCTCTGCCAGAGACGAACTGGCTTCAGAGACTTCACCAAGTCTGCTTGCTGAAGCTCCACAGATGAATCAAGCGAGCTACCATGGACCGACTAGTGTTTTATTCGATAATTTATCACGACTGAATGTGAAGGGGACTGACGAAGACTTTCCTACGAGCGATTCCAACAACATCAGGTGTATGTTAGTTGCAGAGTCGGCCAGACAGCGTATGTATCCCATCGCCTTGCTTTGTTATTTCTTGGGAATCATCTAAGTCCAGACGGATGTAGGCCAACTTGAAACGGTGAATTTCGCCACAGGAGCTCTCGATTTTGACGGCGTAGAGCCCTCTCTTGGCATGGAATTACTCTCCATCTACTGGACACGACAGCCCCATGCAGGTTTAATCGTCTATCGGACAGTGTTCATGCGAGATATGGCTTGTGGAGGGCCCTATTTCTCTAAGCTACTCCTAAATGCTATGTACTACTCGGCTTCAAAGCATTGTTCCTCAACAGCTATTCGCCATGAAGCAAAAGACATCAACACAGCTGGGTGGTCCTTCCGGCAGCGCTTCACGGAAATTCTGCGAGATCAATTCGATCAAAGCCGAATTACCAGCATTCAGGCGCTCCTAATAATGTCAAGCTCGCTTTTTTCCCGCTGTGATGAAAGAAGTGTCTCCTGGTTGTATGCAGGGAATGCATTCAATATGCTCATCGATATGGGCATCCACGTGCGGCGAGGGACGTCTCGATCAATGAACTCAGAGGAGCTAGAAGTAAGGAGAAGAGTATTTTGGGGTGCATTCTGTAAGATCTACCCTGCCCATTCAATAGCCCTGGCCTCCAATGATACTAATCAGCTCGGCCTTCTAGTAATAGACAAATTGCTGTGTCTCTATCAAGGCAGGCATCCAAATCTTCGCCTATCAGATTCAAATATCCCGCTGGTATTCTATGACGACTACGAGGAGCTCGAGCATTTCAACCCGATCTCATTTTGTGCCGCAGGAGAGCCCTCTGTGTTGCCATCCTACAATCTTTCTCTCTTGGAGCATTTATGCCGCCTCAGTATCGTCATGGAGAGAATCCACTCTCAGGTTTATTCCACGAGCCATTCTACACAGCCCTCGGATCACCTCCCAAATGATATCAAGTTACTGCAATTAGAACTCGAGGAGTGGAGACGAGAATTGCCTCCTCAGCTCGACTTTGTATCTTGCAAAGCAAAACTGAAACCACTGCCCTATAACCTGGCAATGTTGTAAGTTGACCACCATTAGCCGACCAAAGATGATACATGACTAATTCACTGGTTCTCAGAGCTACCTATAATCTGCTTGTCATACTAGTCTTCCGTCTACTCCTCTCCCACACCGGACCTTCACCAGGGTCACTCGAGAATGAGGCACTTGTGACCTGCTGTCGAGCAGCCTCCGAGATCAGCCAAATTCTTCAAATACACGAAAAGTTATACATTCTTGGGAGTGAGACTTTTGTGTTATGTTATGCGGCTCATATCAGCGCGACCATACATATCCATGTCCTAGCTCACCACGGCAATCAGTTTGGCCATCGAGAAGCGCTTTCGGTGTGTCTTGGGGCATTGGATAGACACAAGGCGGTATACTCGTCCGCAAGGAGGGCCAGAGAAATTCTTCATCGGCTAATGGCAGATATGGGAGTCAGCGTTGAAGCAGACGCTGTTGTATCACCAGCAGTCGCCCTACCAAGAACAACTGGTAGTCTGTCGGTGTTGGGTGATACCCCAGGCTGGCAAGGAAGAAATGATGGAGATGATCACTCTCCTAGTCTATCCACACTACTTGAACCCCATGGAGAGTTGGGCTTTCCAGACTTCGACGCGACTAGCATTATGGAGAATTTGCGGGGGACGTCGGGCATTTCCGAAAGTTGGTTCAATGTGTCAGAGCAAACAATGCTCTGGGATGTTTATGATGACGGATTTCAGTCAACGTGGGACGTAGAAAATTGATCCATGTTTTGGTTCTGGTGTATGGATCAGAGAAGTATAGTCACACCATATATCATACATAGGTCTGCGAGCTTTTTCACGAATTGAGGTTGACTCTGCTCAAGAATTTTCATAGCAACGCGTAGCCGGGCCGAAACCTCGTGTAGCTTCTAGAAAGCAAAGAAGACGAGCCGAAACCCGTGTAGCGCATATTTAATCAATGCCAAAGATTTAGTTCGACACGTGGAATTCTTGTTTTTGTTTCATCATCTTACTCATGAATGATGGTGTGATTGCTAGGACCTTCTATTGATCAAGTTGAGACCGGCGATTTCCCACGTGCAACCTTTGTTCTGCGTAAACACGCAATGGCACGGTCCGCGAATATCACCCCTTGCATCTATCACGAGACGAGGGAGGTGAGTACAATAATGGCATCGTTTCAGAAGCATTCGGAAACTTCTCCGAATGACGACGAAAGTGTGCACGGTGGTGCGCTTGCCAAATACAACGTTCGGTACGCCTGTTCACTTCGGTCATACGCGTCTAACACCAAGTATCTCACTGAAAGCCAACGATATCTGGAAAAGAAAATTGATCCAACCGCGCGACATATTATAAGCATAGAGAGGGGTCTAATTTTTGACGTTATGTCAAAGAAAAAAATGAATCCATTGCTATTAACTACCATATACGTATTATTCTACATCATTTATAACAAAATCCACCCCCTTTTCCATCAAGACTTCGCGAGTGGTAGCCACCTCATCGATAGTTACCTTCGTGGTATTGCCGCGTTGCCTCATCTTGGGTCTGATGATAGGTATGGCTTTGGGACTGGTTTTGAGCCTGCTGGATCTCTCCTCCCTGATCCTGTGACCACTGATGTTCCCCAGCTGGAGAGCTATCCATCTCGACTGGGTGGCTGACTGTTGCCGCCCATTGCTGGAGATACGGATCGCCGGTTTTGGCGTTCAACTCAACCGGGCTCTGGTATCTAGAGCTGGCCATCTCAGACGGCGGGGGGCCTGTAGAGAAATACGAGGACGCGTGGCGGTCACGCCCAGCTGGGGTGGTAGGGTCGAGGGTCGGGGACGAGAAATGCTGCGAGCCTACCCAGGCAGCCGTGGGCTCTGAAGGAGGTGGTGGGGGGGGAGTCTTATTGCGTCGTCTCCTGACGAAAAAGAATGCCGCAATGGCAAGCACAAGTACAGCTGCGCCTCCAATGGCGATACCAGCGATTGCGCCCTTGGTCAGCTTGTCCTCATCCTGCGTAGCTGGAGACGCAGATGTTGCCGAAGACGAGGGCGCGGACGAGGCCGTGGCAGTAGCAGTAGCGGTGGCTGTCACAGTGGTAGGGCTGCTATCCGCTATTCCATTTGCTGTAAGATTGTTGTATGCCGCGCAGTCGCTGACTGGAACTGCAAGCGGACACGTCGGGTTCTGGCACAGACTGAGGAGTTGCGGGCCCATTGCTGGGTTGAACGTGACCGGCGGTGCACATCGCACGTTGTATTGACTGTTCAATCGTGTACGGAACGTTTCGGCGTCCTGGGTTGAGAATCCGTAGTATATCGCTGCCTGGCTGAGTTGGTTGATGAAGTGTCCAAGCTGGTTATATTCGAGGTTCATGAACTTGTGGGCGTACGACAACTGGACGGGACCGGCGGAGTTCGGCAGAGAAGGGTACGGGATACTGCAGGCAAACGCTCGGCTGAATGATACGAAGAAGTTTCCAAACAGGTGGCTGTGAGATTGGATCGTCAGCAAGTTAACTCCAATATTAACATGGTTCTGATGGTAAGTCTCACTATTGGTTCGAGGAATTAGACATGACGACAGTGTCCGTTCTCCCAGTCAAGAAATCCGAGAGTGGTACAGTGCCACCCTGATCAAGCCAATTGATACCAATCGGTGCGTTGTTGACATTCGTGGAAGCCCTGGAGCCGTTGAAGTATTGTCGAAGGTCGATGTCCACGCCACCAAACTTGCCCGGACGCAAGATTCCCGTCAGCTCGGATGATTTGTTGGTCAGCTCGGAACCTCCCTCAAACGCCAAAGACACGATATGCCTGATGAGGTTCCACTGCGTGTTGCTGTTGTTGGCACCATACAGGGCTGTGGCATAGTAGTCACATAATGAAGCAGTGCTCGGCCGTTGACCCAGAGAGGGTGCGACGAAGGCGGCGAGGCACGCGAGGAAAAGATACAGGCGCTTCGAGGTCAACATGGCACCACGACGAGAGCGAGGATGATCTACGCCCTTCAGATTTTAGCAGTTTCAAGGGGTGTTGGGCACCCAGCGTATAATTAAATAACCCTCAGGCCAGCTCAGAGACATGTCGGGTGCGAGTGGCGTCCAATGCTGACACTTGGTAGGTGTATCTTCTCGACACTGCATTGGCTGATCACCGTGGCTTGGGACTAGACTTGACGGTTGGGCCAATCCAGACTAGCAACAAGGAATAGTCTTGCTTCCGCCAAGCCAAACTGAGTTTACCTCTGCATTATGGTGTGTTAGTCTGGTAGGGCTAGCCATAGGCAAGGCCATAGTGTATTACGGCTGAATTAAGCTGAATAGGATGCACACATGCCAAGGAGATATGTGACAGCAGGACAGCCCGAGACGACGCAGTAAGCTTCTTACCAACGCCGTTCTCTTTCTTAGGGTCACGCGGTGCCTCCCATAGTCTATGCCACCATCTCTCTCCCATTCATTGCAGCTAACTTGTCGTGTTTTAGGACTTCACGTCTCGTGGCCCTCCTTGCCTACGTTCTGTCTAGACTTGCCCTTCATCCCTAGTATTCAACGCCTTGCCCTTTGTGGGATACTTGACTCGGCGAATATCTGTAGCTGGGTAGCGATTCCACCACTACGCGATGCAGGCGGCGCCATTCCGACTAATTTTGCATGATATCCATCGTCGTAAAAACCTCAGATTATGCCCATTTCCCCAATAAGATGAAGTGATTGTGATTGCGACAAGATCTCTGATCAATTGGTGCAACAGAATAGTAGAACATCACACCTCCGTCTCCTTGCAAAATGTGACGTGCCACACACGAGTCTACTTCTACCTGGGATCACGACGACAAGCAGAGCCAGAAATAGTGGCAATCGATATTCATCATGGATGGTCGAGAAGCAGGAGATCCGTTGATCTCTAGTGGAAATACCAAAGCGCTGTTCCCATACACCATTCCGTCCGAGAGGTCAGACTCTTTGTGGGGTAAGTACTGCTCAACGGGAGAGCCGTATCTGGGATTCATCCAAGCAGCCCACCCAGTCTGAACTCGCCACGAGGCACATCTTTCCTTCGCTACTTGGGAGGACCATATTAGCATATATAGCGGTGGTTTAGGCCAGTGGCAGAATATGAGGGTTTTCTTTTTCTCTTCTTCCTAATGCTCACTTATTCATTCCTAAACCCAAACGATCTGCACTATTCAGAGGCCGTGGGAAGACCAATGCCCAAAGCAGACGTCCGTCGGCGAGCTCATTTTACAAGGGTCCAGTCTAGAATCACGGGAGCGGGGCGATTTTGTCCAATTATGGCTCTACTAATGACAATTTGCAGCCAGGGGAAGAGCCTAAATTCCTTCGTCCCTTTATTTAAGCCTAAGTTACCCTAGAGATCGGTTCAAAATGCCCTATTTGGCCGGGAAGTGGGAGGTGAAAGCCGAGGCAGGGCATGACTACATGTCTAGTCTAGACAGATGCATAAGGGAGTCATTGACAGACCCTTTTCATTAAATTGACCAGACTACTCTGGTTCGGTGCATCAATGTTTTCATCCGTCAACCTGTCGCTGCTGCATTTTTAGTTCTGACAGGCTTCATAAGCTTAATTTAGTTCTAACACATCCATTGATATCAAAGACTTGGGGCATTATTTACGACCGAACATCAGACTTGAACCACGCAAAGTATTTAATAGTTCAAAATTTAATGGGCAATAAGGACCCGACTGCAAAGCAGAGCGTGGCTGTAGTCTCTATTAAGGGAAAAGCCACTGGTATCTAGCAACGGTGATCGGTGAGGCTGACTGGCTACTGCACAAAAGTAAGCACAGCATTTGGCAAATGTCTATCAAATCCCAAGATGTATCATCTGGAAACTGTTTTCTTCTTATTTAGGCTTTCATCTCCCGACGTAGTTGTCAATACTGGCACAATGGGCGCGTTATGTTGTTCATTTCAGAAAGCATTATTGGAACAAATACTCGCTCTAACTAATTAAATATGCTAAGTATTGAATGCTGGCTCATAACAAAAAAAGAAACGAAATAGTTTATGGCCACGTTGCAATTCGAGAAGGCGAACGCAGGCTGATCAAGTGAGAGAATTGAGAGAATTGCCCACATTATGATATTTTCAGCTTCCAGCCATGCTCTCCCTGTACAAGCTGCCCGGACAAAGTGGGGGAGAGTTCCGTCTTGATACCTCTGTACTTCAGCCCATCCGTCTCCTGAGCAAGATTAGCGCCAGCTCCGTTCTCGTGCATGCCCTGGAATGCAAATAATTCGGCTGTGTTGGAACTCTTGACCACGTCCATTCCGAGCCTGGCTGTTTGAATCATGACAGCAACAACAAACAAAAGGGTCAGCCCGATCTGAATGATCAGGAGACTGAGCCACTCCCAGCGGACCTTGACCATGGTTTGCTGTCTGTAGGCAACTCCGGACTTGGCTCGGTTCGGGTCTACTTCTCGCATGCTATTTATTGTAAGCATGAGCCCAGATAAAGCCCGTAGGGAAGGGAGAGAGAGAGCGTTAAAAGAATGTTTGGGGAGGGAACTTACTAAGCAGTCATGGCATCTCCAATGGTATCAGAGAGGCTTTGGAGGTTTCCAATGGCTCTGAGGTCAAATTCATCGTCCGTCGTAGACTCGTTGAAGCGGAAGAACATGTTTCGGAAGATCAGTTCGGGAGCTGTAGGCATAATTTCGGTCTCGTTGATGTTCCAGACCCAGGACCCGGTAAAGGCATGTTTGAAATAGTTTCTCATAATCTCGAAAGTCCA